AATCCATTTTTTTTGGTACCATAGAATATAATCTTAACTTTTTACAGAGTTTCCTAATAGAAAATAGTTTTTTTAAAGGAGGGATAAGTTTGTTATCCTAGAAGACTGACTAAGTGCTAATAAGTTTTCCTTCAAGTGAATTTGGAAAGGACTTGAGACTGGATAAATATTTCTTAATATTTTCTTTAAGTAAAAGGAGACCTTAATATGCTTCTGTGGCACCTAGTGTATGCCATGTACTATGCTAGGTTGTGGTGATACAAAGTAAAAAAATAAAACAAATCTACTCTCAAGAACTTTGTATTTTTTTTTATTAATTTATTTTGATTTATCAACAATCACTTCAATAAGCTTTTGAGTTTAAAATTTTTCTCCCCCTCCCTTTCCACCTCCCTCCCCAAGAGAGAACGCAGTGTGATATAGGCTTTGCATGTACATTCCTATTAAACGTATTTTCACATTGGGGATGTTGTAAGGAAGACTTAGAATGAATAGGAGGAACCACCAGAAAGAGGAAACAGAAGAAAAAAAATAGCAATTAGTATGCTTCGATCTGCATTCATACTCCATAGTACTTTCTTTGAATATGGATAGCATTTTCCATCATGAGACCTTTGGAGATGTCTTAACCCTTCTCAGCAATGCAAGGATCTAAGTCTTTCAACCTTAGTCATAACACAACGTGGCTGTTACTGTGTATAACATTGTCCCTATTCTGCTCACTTCACTCAGCATCATTGCATACAAGTCTTTTCAGGTTTTTCTGAAGTCTGCTTGCTCATCATTTCTCATAGCACAATAGTATTCTATTACATTCATATACCACAACTTGTTCAGCTGTTCCCCAATTGATGGGCATTCCCTCAACTTCCAATTCTTTGCTACCACAAAAAGAGCTGCTATAAATATTTTTGTGCATGTGGGTCCTTTTCCCATTTTTTTATGATCTCTTTGGGATACAGCCCTAGAAGTGCTATTGCTGGGTCAAAGGGTATGAACATTTTTATAGTATCCCTTTGGGCATCGTTCCAGATTGCTCTCCAAAATGATTGGATCATTTCACAACTCCAGCAATGCATTAGTGTTCCAGTTTTCCCACATCTTCTCCAACATTTATCATCTTCCTGTTTTGTCATGTTGGCCAATCTGATAGGTGTGATGTGATAACCTCAGAAAGAGCTTTATATTCTAATGGAGGAGACAACAAGGACATATATAAAGAGAATAAATAACAAGTAGTTTTAATACAAGTTTAGGGAAGGTTAAGATACTAGCAGTTGGAATTAGAAAAGGCTTCATGTAGATGGAGATGTGTAAGTTGCATCTTCAAGAAAGAGAGATTATGTGAGATGTTGAAGTAATGAGAGCGTTCGTTCCAGGCATGCAAGAATGGCCAGTACAAAGGCAAAGACGAGGCAACAGTTGAAGTGATGTGAGAAACAGAGAGAATGTTAGATTGGTTTTTTGCACAGTAACAGTACAGGAGGGGGAGTATTGCACATGCACATGATGTTCAAAATCTAAGTTGGAAGAAGATTGTGAAAGGCTTTAAAAGCTAAACAGAGGAGCTTGTTTTATCCTAGAGACAGTCGGGAGCCATTGAAATTTGAGTAGGATAGCAACACGGTCAGATCTGCACTTTAAAAAATCCCCTTGGGTAGTATTAGGTGGCTAGGTATTGCAGTGGATAGAAAGCTGGGCCTTGAGTCAGGAAGAAACCTGAGTTCAGACCCTGGACAAGTAATTTAACCTCTGTCTACCTCACTTTTCTCAGCTGTAGAATGGAGATAATGTTAACACCTACCTCCTGTGGTTGTGAGGATCAAATGAGATATTTGTAAAGTGCTTACTATAGTACCTGGCACATAGTAGCTTTAATAAATGTTTACTTCCTGCTCCCTTCTTCCCCGTTAGAGTATAGGCTGGGGTGGGGAGAGATTTGAGGTACAGATACAATTAGGGTGCCATTGCAAACTAAGCAAGAGATGACGAGGACCTAAAGTAAGATGAATTATCTGTTAAATAGGAGAAAAGGGGCTGAGTGCAAAAGATGTGGAACTAGAAACAGCCAGATTTTGCAACTAATTGGACATGTAGGGTCAGAGACAAGGAGCAGTTGAGGGTAATACTGAGATACAAATATCAGAGACTAGAAAAATTTTGGTGCCTTCAACAGAAATAGAGAATTTTGGTAGAGGGGTGCCTTTTTTTGAGGAAATAATGAATGAGCACTATTGTAGAGATGTTAAGTGTGAAGTGTCTTTGGGACATCCACTTTGAAATGTCTAATAGGCAGGCAGTTGGGGATGCTAGCCAGAGGCTTAGGGACATACTGGGCCTATGAGTCATCTACACTGAAATGATAATTAAACCCATAGGAGCTCATGAGGGATGTCTTCGGGAATACCCAGATGTAGTGGACATAAACCAGCAAAGGAGTCTGAAAGGAGAACCAGAAAAGGGTAATGCCGTGAAATATCAGGGGAAAGAGAAGAGTAGTCCTTATCTTCTTTGACATAGACATTGGACCAACTAGCATCCAGAGGAGTTTTCTCCTTTTTGGCTAACAGTGCTGACCCTGGAGTCAGGAACACCTGAGTTTAAATGTAGCCTCAGCCACTTGCTAGATCTGTAATCCTGGGGCGAATTATTTAACCTCTGCCTCATTTTCCTCAACTGCAAAATTGGGTAATGAACTGCACCTACCACCCAAGATTGTTGTGAAGAGCAAATGAGATGATATTTGTAAAAGTGCTTAGCATAGTGCCTAGCACATAGTAGGCACTTAGATAAATGCTTATTCCCTTCCCAATCCCCTCTGTATAAGGAAGCTGGACTTCCTTTCCTTTTCAGAGTTATAGTTCATTCTGAAGCAGTTGAGCCATGGTATGAGTTTTGAAGAGTATTGTCTAAATCTTCAGATCATCCCCCTGCTCCATATATTTTACATTGATAGTTTTATTAATTAGCTCTAGGCTGCATCTTAAAATTGTATTACAGTGACTATTTTGAGCCTCTACAACTCTATACAATAGTAGCTGCCACAGAAATTTTTCCATCTTTGAGAAGAAGCACACTTACCAGAAAGCCCTTTCTCCAAAGACATTTTATCCCTAATAGCTTCTGAATATTCCCTCATTTTCCCCCACTGATAAAATCCTAGGCCAACTACTTTTTAAACATCTTATTTAATTGTTTGCTTAGAAATTATTCCTTGTCTGCTTCCCAGAAAAGCACTTGAGGTTCCTTATAAAACTATAGTTGAAACAATTTAATTGAAAATGAAAACAACTAAAAACAGCTAAAATAAGCAGATGTTAAAAAGATATAGCTATTAACAGACAGTCGAGATAAGGTAGTTACCATATTTGAACGTTGAACATAATTGAGTTTATTTGTCAGGGTTCCCTGGAAGGTAAGTTACGTAAGGAAATTTGTTTAGTTGTGTAGTACTTAGAACATAATAAAGGGAAACATTATAAGTTCATCTGGAGAGAGTGTTGGTATTTTTCTAGGATTACATTAAGAAAGAAACTGCTACAGATATGGAAAAATACTACTTTGTTTATTTACCTGAACTATATTGGTGACAGGTCATATTTTTCCCTGAATTTCCAGGAACAGGTCCTTTAGGTCAAGACCACTTTGTGTTAGATATAGGAATCAACTCAAAACATCCTAGTTGAATCAGTCAACCAATATTTTTTAGTGCCTACCATGTGCCGATTACCATGCCTAGGTGCAAAGGATGAAACACTCTCTGCTCACATTCTAATAGAGGAGGCAGCTACCTATAAAATACATACAGGTGACTAGAAAGTTAGTAAACATATGCAAAGTAAGTTTGGAGGATCCTATCGGGTGAGAGATTCAGGAAACATTTCCTAGGGCTTGAACTGTCTTAAAAGATGGAGAATCTCAGAAGGAATGCATTCCAGGCGTGGAAAGTCAGTGCAAAGGCTTGGGGAGGAGAGATAAAATGTGTGTGAGGAATAGAAAGAAGGCCAGTTTGGCAAGATTGAGGGGAAGCTGTGTCTAGTACAGCTTTAATAATAGTTTGGGGCCAGGTTGTGAGGAGCTTTAAAAACCAAGAAAAGGAGTTTGTAGTTTGTCTTAGGAGCAATAGGAAGTGACTGGAGTTGATTGAGTAGGGAAGTGACATGGTCAGATATGTGCTTAAGGAAAATTACTTTAGTAACAGCATATCTGTTGGAGCAGATGGAGGGAAGACAGACTTGAATCAAGGAGACCAATTAGGAAGCAGTTGCAATAGTCTACGTAAGAGGTGTGTTGAAGGCCTGAACTGCATTTTGAAAACTTGAATTTGTTCCAAGAGATTAATATAATAGGGAACATTTTGAGCACTACTCAAATTTTGAGTTTGTTTGAATTTTTCCACAAGAAATATCGAGAATATAAAAAAACTGTATCACTTTACAATCGTTCACAAGCTCCAACCCTTCCAACACCCACCTCCATAAACAAAATCAGGTCTTTGTCAGACTAAGGTGTCATATTTATTATATATCTTCTGGTGCAATAAGAGCCTTAAGAAGGGGCAGAAGTGGATAGAGCACCAGTCCTGGATTCAGGAGGACCTGAGTTCAAATCCAGCCTCAGACTTGTGGTACTTAGTAGCTGTGTGACCCCCGGGCAAGTCACTTAACTCCTGATTGCCTCACCAAAAAAAAGGATCCTTGAGGAGAAAAGGGCTAGTTCGTACCCTCACTCTCACCACTTTCTGCCATGGCCTCAAGCTCAATCTCAGTTGTGGATGCAATTGGTGATACAGGACCAAATCTCAGTGGAGAGATTGGGGCTACACATACATGCATGCATATGATGTCATATTGCCATTACATCATGCTGCCTCTGGTATTAGGAATAGTGGGGATATAAAAGAAAAATAGATTTAGTGTACTTGTGCTATCCATCCCCTAGTTGCTGCATGATTCGACTTAACAAAATCTATAGCAATTTTTTTAATTACTTTTGTTTAGCATTGAATTACAGTTACAGGAACAAAGCCCAGGCATCCGAAGTGGAGTCTATTCTCACCTTGAGGCTTTCGTACCGTGTAATAAAGACACACTGGTAAAACGTCTAAAAAAGCTGCACCTCAATGTTCAGGTAAGATGTTGAAGTCTTAGAGTTTTATCTTGAATGTATGAGATGTGATGTAGTCAGGAAGCTTATTTCAGTGAGTGACTTGTGGAAATTTCTTATTACTTTTGAATTGTATATGTCCTGAACATAGTTTCCTGGTTAAGAAATTTGAAGAGTTGACAAATCTTAGAAATAGTACTGGACTGGAAGTCTCATTCCAACTCTACTACTAGTTAACTGCGTGGCATAGTAAGGCACTGGTAGACTCAAGACCCAGGTTCAAATCCTGCTACAGACACTTATTAGCTATATGACCCTAGGCAAGTCACTTAAATCTCTAGGTCTCTGTTTCTTTATCTACAAAGAGTAGAGGCTGAACTGATGGCCTTAAAGATCCCTTCCTGAACTAAATTTATGATCCTTTGCCCTAGGATCTTATGACAGAACTTAGTAAATCATCTAATCTCTCTTTTAGCCCAGTTTTTAAACTAGGTGTAAGTCACAGCGTTTTCTTAGGAATTATGAAGACCAATGAGATAAGAGAGCTTTGATGTCTTCCAAAGAAATGCATATAAAAATATGAAATAGAATTCTCGTGTAATTTTTAAAGCTTTAATTGCCTAATGTTGACCTGCACATTTAGGAAGAGTAAGTTTGTGGAGAATTACTTGTAAAGAAAGGTAAAATGAAAATTCCATTTTAAATCAGAAGCAGGTTAGATAAGAAGTTTACTTTAAGTCATGGCTACATATTTCCTTCACATATTGATTATTAAAGTGTACTGGTATTAATTTAACTGACAAATATTGGATGTCCAAGAAAGATGAAATGGAGGTGGAAAAACAACTTAACACTGTTTTATGCAATTTATTTTAAAGAAACTTTACTACAATATGTTTGGGCATATTATTTTTAAAGCATCCTTATTCTGGAGGCCTAGTTGTAATTTAGAATAGACATCTCCCAAAATCTGAAATGTCTTCTGCAGATTCTTTTGCAGCATTCATTTGCAAATTTGCTTGTAAAAGCTTTGTTGTTTTTCTCCTAGGATGATCGTTTAAGAGAACCATTGCAGAAACTGAAATTGGCTGTCAGCAATGTTATGCCTGAACAGTTGTTCAAGTATCAGGAGGACTGCCAGGCTCGAAGTCAAGCTAAGAGTATTAGGTATGTATAACTTCAGGTTGGATAGACTCCTGAATTTAATCTGTCCCATAGCTAGAATTTTTGATTGCTGGGGATTGGCTTTCAAGAGGTCTCCACCATACCTGAGTAAAAATCCAAATGTCCCAGTGCTACAGTCCCTACTAGAGCAGAATTATCACTTCCTACCGCTCCCATGATATCATCAAGATAAAAAGTAACTTCATTAAATGGATGTGTTGTATTTAAGATCTGAAATGCAGCCACAGCCTGCAGTAGCCAGGTAATACCCACAATGACCAGCTAGAGTGCTGTGGGCCCCGAATAAATACTTTGTGAACTGAGAGGCAAAATACTATCTGTTATTGTTTGACTAATAATCTGAGGAAGATCTTTACCACATCATTTGGGAGCTAACATTAAATTCAATGTTTTATATAGAAATGTTGATCCCCTGCACACTTTGTCATGGATTATGGCTTTACCATTCTATGAAATTAAATGGCTCATTTTCAGGTCACAAGCAGATGAAGAACGAGAAAAAAATGGATCTGAGGATGATGATGATGAGAAACCAGGAAAACGGGTCATAGGACCAAGAAAAAAATTCCACTGGGATGATACCATTAGGTATATTTTAACTATATCCTTTACTCTTGTTTTATAAAAGGAGTCCGGTTATGGGGAAGACTAGATCTGGCAAAGGAAGGACTAGTATGGAGAAAACATTTATATTCAAGAGAGTTACTTTGCTTTAGATCTTTTCTCATTTCTGTAATTTGAACTATGCAGTTTGTTATATGATACTTTCCCACAAATTTTTCATTTCCCCAGAATAAATCAAGAAGCAATACATTTTTTTCTGTCATTTTCATGGATTAGGTCCAAAAATTAGTAGTAAGGGTGGAGTGTCTTTGTGAAATAAATCAGCTGTCTGTCTTCTCCATCTTTTTTGCCAGTATTCCTTAATTGGAATATCACTGTATTTTTTTTTTGACCCTATGTCAGCCCTTGGTGGTTTGATTGAAAAAGCATTAGTTGTGAGTGTTTTGATGTAAACAAGGTGTTCTAGAAATAGAGTAAATGCATCACCAGATAGTTTAGAAGTGGTAGGTGTCTCTTACCCTAATTTCATTTCTTGAACTCTTTAAAGAATTGTCTACAGTTTTTATAGTCAGATTTTTTTTCCTGTTTAGGGCTTTGTTATGTAACCTTGTCAAGATTAAGTTGGGATGCTATGAGCTAGAGACAAATAAAAGCCAATCTGCTGAGGATTATCTTAAGACCTTTATGGAGACAGAAGTGAAACCATTGTGGCCTAAGGGCTGGATGCAGGCTAGGTAAGAAATTTAGCATCCTAAGCTGTGTATCATCTTGTTCCTTATGTTACTTTAAAAAAAATTTTTAAACATTTTGCTAAGAGCCTACTATGTGCTGGGCACTATACACAGCCGGATAGAAACACTTAGGCCTCCTCTCTTATGAAATTTACATCCTTAAAGAGATAAGATAGATATAGACATGAGAATGTGGAAATACAAAAAGTTAATTTTTACAAGACACATCTTTTGTGTGTTTTTGTTTTGCCAGTAGTAGAGGAAGGTGAACAAGAGGGTAAGACTCGAAAGAACAATATAAATTTGGGGAGAGAGACTATTATTAGTTAGTCTAGAAATTCAGTAATAGCAAAAATAGAAGGATTATTTATGGGTGGCTACTTCGAAGTTAAAAATAATCTGTATTTAGGGTACATAGGAAAAGAGACATTGTATTCTACAGGAGGTTAACAACTAGAATTTTTCATTGAAAGAAGATTTTTCAAAAGGACTTTCTCAAAAATTCAGGGAAATCACCTCTAAATACTTGAAAGGTTCATAGTCTAAGTATGGATGACCAGCCTCAGCAAATTGAGAGGTCATGTAGCCTTTGTGTCTTCAAACCTCTTTACATTGTAGTTCTAGTTAATGGGGAAAAAATGATCTATTATCCCACAGTTAGATATGCTGAAGTCTTAAAATTCAGTGGGATAATTAGAAGCAAAGTCTCGTTTTCCAGCCACTTTGGTAAGAACTTAGAGATCTATCCAACAAGTGATTATCCATAACTCAGATGTTTTTCCCAAGTCAGTAATTCAGTTGACCGTGCAAATAATCTTTCAAGTGATAGATAGTGGCAAATAATAACTGATTGAAAACCCAGGGGTAACATTGTCTATCTGCCTTTTTTGTCTCTAGAATGCTCTTTAAGGAAAGCCGAAGTGTTCACAATCATCTCACTTCTGCTCCGTGAGTAAATATAGAGGCTTTAAAAAAAAAATCTCATTTGCTTTCATTTTACCTTATTTCACAGTTATCAAGCTATGTTAATCTCTTAGAATTTGGGGAAAATTAATGGTATTCAATCCATTTTGACTGATAATAAGGAATTTTAGGAGATTAAAAAAACAATTAAGAATGCAATGAAATGATGGATTGAATTTGTTAAGCATCTAAACTGTACTCATCATACAAAAATTGTGTTCCAGAAGTACATCTGTAAGTTGCTAATACTTACAACATGGTTTCCCCTAAAAATAATGTCACTCTAAGTAGTGACTAGGCTACCAGGCTAGCCCCCGTAAGTCTGTAGACAACTAACTTAAGGCGGTACTAAAAGGCAGTGTGCTATATTGGAAAGCACACTTGGCTAGGAATCAAAAAACTTGTTCTGATCTCAGCTCTTGTCACTTAGTGTGTGCCCATAAACAAGTTACTTAATATCTGACCTCTCTGAGTCTTAATTGTCATCTATAAAGTGTGCTATTAGTAATCCAACATATGACTGTGTTATAGAGTTGTTTTAAGGATCAATTAAGAATGTGAAAACACTTTGTAAACTGTAAAATACTGTATAAATTTTAAGTAGTATGGTTTTTTTTTTCCAAGCAATATGTTTTTAATACTATTATTACTAGCCTGAGTTCTGGGTCCTATAAGGAAGAGACCATGTAGTGTAAGAGCAAAGAAGAAAGTTTCATCTTCTTTTCTTAACATAGAGTTGCTATGCAAAATCTTTGAAATAGGCAGGTTTTGCTTATATGTCCTCCTACTTCCTTTTCTGTTCCTCCAGGCTGTCTTCTAGTATCTATTCCCCCAATTTCTTTGTGTTGTCCTAACCTCCAAACAGTGGCCCTCTGGCCCAGGCCTGCTCCATGCTTCAGAGTACTACAAAAGTTCCTACCTTCCATCTCCTCAGTCAAAAGCTCATTTTCTCGGGGTAATTAATCAATGCTCTATAGCAGACTGACTTATTTATTGTAGCAGACTTAATTTATTCATACTATTGTTAGCTCTTTAATATTCAAAATATATTTGCCTTTTTAAGAGAAAATATTTGTTAACTCAATCTATAATTGGTGGGATTTTAGTGTAACCAAGAGAAAAAAATTCAAGCAAAGTGCAAGAAGAGAATTTTGGGCAGGGGAGGCTGCCATATAATTAATGCAGCTCCTCCTGGGAGTCTGCCACCTAAGTCAGCTCTATAAGCTTTCTGTTTTTTGCCTTTCATTCCTCTACCTCTGAGCCCACACATTGTCTAAGAACTCTGAATTTTCTTCACAGGGCTTTTAGTGGTGGTGATAGAAAAATAATAGGGATTATCAAGGAGTTATGTATCGTCTAGAAGAAAATGGAGAAAGAGTGGGTTGACCTGGTTTTGCAAGCATTTGTAAATTTTATTTACTTAAAAATTAGAGATTTCCAATAAAGTAAAACTTTGCCTTGTTTTCCTTTTTATCTTTTTTCTTCCTCAGAGTTTTCCATAATTGCCATTGTCTTAAGTAAAGAGCAAACTACTACTCCTGTTTTTCCTAAAATATCTATTGTGTATATATTTCTAAGGATTAGAAGAAATATATTAATAGCTTCTTGAGGCTTTGCAGTAGGTTCACTCAGTTCAGAAAGAAATTATATTCCATCTTTGTCATATTTCAGCATTTTCTGTACCTGTTCACATGCAAATTCAAGACATCTCCCACCATTTCTGAAATAGGCCTAAGGATAGGAGAAAGAGGTCCCTAACCATGATTTTAAATAATATTTGTTTTTAATATGCTTTTCTTTTTGTATTCTTTTGCTTTATTCTTTTATATTCAACAATAAAAAGACAAGATTTTCTTTTTTACTATTGTACATATCTTTCTTTTTACTATTTTTATCCTGTGAAAACATCTTTAGTTCAGATTCCACCAGAGTATCTTGGCCCGTAAAATAATATATTTTAAAATTGTTTATGAAGAAAGAATATTTATAATGTAAACAATATTATAGAAAAAATGCTTGATGACTTAAGAAAATAAATAGGGAGTGCTCTATTCTTTAAATTTGAGCTATATGTATTTCATAGATTTAGAATAATAGTAGTCAGAGGCAGGAAAGACACCTTAGAGATAATCTATTTCAACCCTTTCTCCTGTTTTACTAATGAGAAAACTGAGAACCAGAGAGGCCAAGGACTTGCCTAGGGTTACACAGCTAATTAGTGGCTCAGTTAGGATTAGAAGCTAGATCTGAAGGCTAAATGCATGTTTTTAAAAAATGTTCTTTAATTCATTCTGTTTACTAATTCAGGTTGACCTCTCAAATTAGTGATTTACTGAAAATATGTTCATTTAAATGCTTATTATGAATATTCTGTATATAAGATACTGTGATATTTGGTGTTATAGAAAATCTGGAGATGGATAAGACAAGATCTCTTTGTTCTCAAGGAACTCAGATTGTGTGTGTGTGTGTGTGTGTGTGTATGTGTGTGAGTGCACTTTGTGTTACAAGGCCATGTGTGATAATTGACAGATAGTTGGTGTAAACACCATACTATTAAAGTAGTTTTAGTCTTAGTCTCACATTTGACTTTCTTTCTTAAATTAGGGCAAAGAAAAAGGTAATTCTGGCACCTAAGCCCAAAGTGAAGGTAAGTATTAAAAGCAACTCTTTTAAGTGTAATTTGTGAATTTGGAAAAGTTCTCTTTTATAGTTCAAAAGGATATTTTAGTACACAGCACAGACATTGTAGATAGAGTTAAGATATTTTCAAGCTTTTTAACATTATAAAACCCTTATGTTAAAAATTCAAAGAGCTATCAAGTTGTATAGGTTCAATAATATAAGCTAGCAAAAATAGCGTAAATATTTGTTAGTGTATAGCCAGCAGTACGAATTAAGCAATAATAAATTAAGTAAATATTCAGATGATATGGGTTAGGGATAGAGGTCATAGGTTTTTAGTAAAAATGTCTGTCTTTTTCATATTGTTAATGTGGGTCTGGGCAAAACAATTGTTTTATATACATACATATATATATATATATATATATATATATATATATATATATATACACATACATACATATATATACACACACACACACACATATATATACATACATATATATACACACACACACATATATATACATACATATATATATACACACACTATATATATACATACATATATACACACACACATATATATATACATACACACACACACACACACCACACACACACACATATATATATATATATATATATATATATATATATATATAACAGGAACAGAATGCAATATTACTTCTTCCTTTTTGGCATAATTTGTCAATTGCCCTTGAATAAATACATTATTACAGGGTGAAAAGGAAAGTGTCGTTTGTAGATTCAGTGCAATTCAACATTGCCTACTATGTGCAAGGTACTATTCTAGGTATTAGAGGTACAGAGACAAAAAAGGCCTTAAGCTTGTGTTATATTGTTCAGTGGTAGAGGGAGAAAATACAATATTTAAACAAATAAATACAAAGTTATTTTGAGTTGAGGCAGTAACACTAGGGAGATCTAGGGTAGAGTATCAGAAAGAGCCTTATGTAGGTTATTGCACCTACAGTGTGCCTTGAAAAGAGCTATAGAAGCTTCCACCTCCTTCACTAACTCAGCATCCTACATAGTTTGGATTAATATATGCTGAATGTTCTTTATAGGGGCATTTCTATCACTGGCTTTTATGGAGGAGGTGTTCATAGTCTTAATTTTTTCTCAGATATAATAGTCAGGGAAAATAAAAAGATTACAGCAGTGAGAGCTCAGATAAGATTGGTGACAGTCTTTGTAGTGATTTTCATGATTCTGTAGTGTAGAAAATGAGAATAATCCAGGATTGGTTTTGTCTAAGACTTGAAGAACATTAGGATGAAGGGGGCAAGGGTTTTCAGTGGTGGAGGATAACCAGTCAACATGCATTTATTAAGCACATAGTGTATGTCAGACATTGTAATTAAGCATTGGAGATACAAAAAACAGCAAAAACAGGGTACCTGCTCTAGTTGAAATAGTTGATCACAGGCTCAAGGTTGTAAAGGACAGAGAGAGACAAGAAAAAGGGATGCTGGATTGGGGGGGAGGGCTGAAGGGACTAGAGATTATGATGAGGATGAACAACAAGTTAAGAAGAAATAAAGCATGGAAAGAAATGGAGGGATAGGTTATAATCAGAACAATTTGAGAATTAAAGATTATAAAAGGGACTCGGTTATGGATGATAGTGAGATTTGACATATAACCATATCTGTGAGTGGCCGGAGTAAAGAAGTAGATCATGAGTGCTGAGGAAGTTGTTGAACTGGGAGTCGAGGATTTTTAAGAGAACATTAATGTGTCTGTTGAAATGCTTGAGTTTGAGGACATACATTGGTGTGGAGAAGAATATTGAGAACTATTTCATTGAAAAAATGAGCACCTTAAGGATTGTAGATGATTGTGAAATTCTTGGACTTGGTAATATAGGAGGAAGCATAGCTTTTTGCTCTTTCCTCTGGACAGAATTTAGCTTCGTGCAGTTGTTTTTCATTCTTAACCTTACATCTAAGCCCTGCCCGTTATAACTTTACAATACCTATAATTTTTCATTGTCATCTTTTTTTTCCTCCCTTCTCTAATCTATTCTACTTCCTAGAAAACTAGTCATCAGTCTTTTTTTAATTCAGTTTTATTTTATTTTCAGTTCTGAATTCTCTCCCTCATTTGTCTCCCCCTCCCCTGCTCCCCTCACCCTCACCCCGCCACACACATACTGAGAAAGCAAGAAAAATAAAACCCATTACAGATATGTACAGTTTTGCAAAACAAATTCTGGAGCATTAGCCATGTCCAAAGTAGGAAGAAGGAAAAAATAAGAAAAAAAATTTGCTTCAGCATACATTCTTGAATCCATCAACTTTCTATTTGGAAGTGAATAGCATGTTTTATCTTGGGTCCTTTGAAGTTGTTGTTGATGATTGCATTGAACAGTTTCTTAGTCTTTCAAAGTTGATTATTTCTACAATGTTGATTTCATTGTATGAATTGTTCTCCTGGTTCTGCCCACTTCACTTTGCATCACTTCATATAAGATTTTCCAAGTTTTTCTGAAATCATTCTGTTCGTCATTTATTATATTGTACAATAGTATTGCATCACACTCATATACCATAACTTTTCAGCCATTTCTCAATTGATGAGCATCCTCTCAGTTTCCAGTTCTTTGGTACCACAAAAAGAGCTGCTATAAATATTTTTGTATAGATAGATCCTTTTCCTGTTTCTTTGATCTCTTTGGGGTATAGACCTCATAGCAGGATTGCTGACTCAAAGGGTATGAACAGCTTAATAGCCCTTTGAGGCTATCAGTTCTTAGAATATAGCCACCTTTCCTGACAAACAAAAGTGAGGATTAGAATGGAAGAACAGCTTCCTTAAAATTGCCGGTTCCATTTTAAGAATATGTCCTTTGACCAGAGCTAATTCTTCCAAGGCTTACCTTACTCATGAATTTAACCTTTTAGCCATTCTAGCAGCATTTTCATGTGTGTTGATTTCTATTATAAAGTTTCTAACACTTTTCAATGCCTTTTATTGTATGTTTCATATATAAAATAAATTATTCTGGTTAATTTCTGTAGTTAGTGTATTTAGTGTTAATCATAATCTAGAATCCTTTTAAGTGACATCGCTGCCTCTGGCTCAGCTTGATCTTATTCAGTGTTCAAAACAAGCATCAATGGTTGTTTTCCCCATGCATTCCCATAGCAGGAAAAGTACGATATGGTTTTAAAAACCTATTGAAGCTGTAGCCAAATGACAGTAAGATGGGGTTGTTGCTTTATAATTTTCTCTGTATATATCTGTGTGTCAGAATTTTCTATGCCTGTCCCTATATTCAGTATTTGTGACCTTTTCACCCTCTTTCTCAGTAGGTTTATCTTTATGTCTCCGCCTTACTTGCTGTAGCATTTTTCTGAGCTATCTTTGTCTTTTCCTATATTTCTGGGTCACTTCTCTGCTCTTTTCCTTCCTTTGGTTCTCTCTCTTAATTGGACTTAATATAGAATTAAGATATTTAGACAGACAGATACCAATTCGACAGCAGATAGGTAAGAGTATACTTGAAAGAAAAATGATCCTGAATTTAAGATCTCATCCTTAAAAAAGGTTATTGCACACATCCTTCTTACCATGCATTTCTATAATTAATGTAGACTGATTCATCAGATCAAAGATCAGAAATATGAACAAAAGAATAATAATGAGGATATTATATGATAGTAACAAAATATTATTTTAAAAATACATGGCATAAAGTTATGGAGACTTAGCCCTCAATTGTTTAAATGAACTATTTAAAATATTAACGGAAGATGATCAATGGAAATTATATTGATCATGGTTATAATAATTAAGAAGTTAAGCCAATATAAATTAATTGCTTACAGGAACACCCAGAGAGTCCATAAGAAGTCCTTTAGTCAACAGACACATAACTTACTTGCCAAATAGAGAGAGCTGGCTGCTAAAGGCAGTACCAGCTTAAAATATAAGCTCATTTGTAAAATCTTAAAATGGATTATGAATGGTTATAAATTGTATTGTCTCATAAAGCAAAGAGAAACAATGGGGGGCAGAAGCAAGCTTGATAAGATATCCAGCTATGCAAAGTTCACCCCAAGGGGATTCCAGTATGAAAGGAGGAATGACAAATATAAGTAAAGTGCAAAAGATTTGCAAAAATTGTTTTAACAAACTTTTTTTTTCCCTCAAGGATATAGAAACTATCACATTTGGTCAGCAGCCTTACAATTCTCTAAAGTTCTTACAGAGGAGATAGAAATGATATTGAAGGAAACAAAGACAAGAGGAAGTGGTACAAATGTGAGGGCATATTAACAAGAAAAATAAACCCGTTCAGTTGTCTTCTTATAATAAACATCAAGAGAGGCATAAAGCAGGGACATGCAGGTTTACCAAGACTATTTGCTACTATGAAGGAGGTCTACCACAGAGTCTACTGTAAGACTTCCCTAAGGATAATGAGCTCCTCCAAATTCATTTATTTGTGGATAATATTGTAGTGATTGCATCAAGTTCCAGAATATTGTAGAGCCTCCTAAAAAAGATTAGTAATCCCTTAAAAGTAGTTAGGCCTGTCCGGTCATTCAGAAAAGACCAAATGGATAACAAATTTCTTTTGCTCAGATTTCAATTTACATCTTTTTGGATAGCCTATAGAACTTGTCCAAAAGTCTGTATATCTGGAACAGATAGTACAGATGGATGGTGGATTGAACTGACAGCTGAAAAGGAGCAGAGACTGGATTACCTTCAGGAAATTGTGTAGCGTTTTTATTGACTTCAAGCTTCCTTGTAATAGTAAAAATATCCTTTTAGGATAGGCATTTTATTAGTGCTGCTTATGGTAGAGATGTGGAACACAACTGCTTCTGAAGAACTAAAGATGAGTGCTACAGAAAGGGCAATGAGGGCAGCTAGGTGGCGCAGTGAATAGATCTCTGGCCTTGGAGTCAGGAGGATCTGAGTTCAAATCCAGCCTCAGACACTTAACACTTACTAGCTGTGTGACCCCATATGCCTCACCAAAAAAAGAAAAAATTTTTAAAAATTTTAAAAATAAACAAACAGGGCAACGAAAAGGCTTATGGTAGCTCTGAGGAGGCTGCAACATGTAAACAATGAAAAACTCCAAAGAACTAGAGTAAAGGATGTCATCAGGAAATTGTATGACAGAAAGAGAAGTTGTATTAATCTCATGGCAAGAACAAGTGATGGTAAGTAGACAGCCAGATTGCTTCACTAGTGCTTGTGATGTCAGGTGAAATTGAGGAAGGCCTCCAGCATGTTTGGGGAACAACCCTTGTATTGGTCTTTTGAGAGGATGTGAATGTGAGTGGTATGGAGTAGGTGGCCTTGGATGGGCTATGTTCTGCATCATTGGAGGGAATTCTCTAGTTAATGAGATCTGGGCTTCATTTGAGTGATTAATATCCAGTAAAGATATATTTGTCTAATGTTTTACCTGAAGTTAGTCCATTCTCCTTTACTTCTTTATTACACTTGGTTTTCTACTCCCTCACATCATTTTTATCACTGCCACATTTTGCCACCTCAGCATCCATATCACTTTTATTATATACTTCACTTTTCTTAGCTTCAAATCATGGTTTATTCCTGGAGCCTGATTTCTTAATTTCCAGTACAGTAAGTATTAATATATATATATAACCCACATAAAATCTCTTTGGGAGGCACTCAGTAATTTGTAAGAGTGTAAAGAGGTCCTTAGTGAGATCAAAAAGTTTGAGAACCACTGACAGAGAATTTTCCATGCCTAGAATGCACCATTTCCTTATCTTGTTAAAATCCTTCCTTTCCTTTAAAGCCCAGCTTAGATGCCACCATGAAGCATTTCCTGAATTCTGTACCTGAAAGTGATCTCTCCCTCCTCAGGTTTTCTTATAGCACTTTGGATCTCTCCTTATCATAGTCTATCTCTTATGCTTGTGAAACATCGCTTTTCCTTTCTAGATTATAAACTTCTTGAGGGCAGAAATTGTGTTATTTTCCATTTTTCTATCCTTATAGCCTAGCAACAATGTCTCATACATAATAGTTGCTTAATATATTTGCTGTTGAATTGAATTTTTCTAAATGTAATCATAAGATCCATACTTACTTCTCTTACGATAGTATTCTTTACTTGTATTATATTCCCTTTAAATGCCTCTAGGATAAACATTCTTTCTTAACACTTAGCCTCTTTTATACTAAACTTTGTTCAAGCAATCCTTAATTGTTCCAATATTATCATAATTGTTTTCATCCCTCAAGAGTATTTTTGATGATGGATTATGTATCTTCAGTAATGAAAATTGGATGGCATATCAAAGTAAACTGATATCCCATCTCTACTGCCCATTTAGCTCAGCACATAACAGTAGTCTTTATGTAATCTAGTGTGTGATTTTTCAAAGAGAAAACTTTTAATATTGCCAAGGAAGATAGAAATTTGAGTTTTAAAATGCATCAGAGCTTCTCATTAGACTAGTCTTAACAATTTCAGAAGGAAACTGCTTCTCCATTCTCTCTGCTGTCTCCTCCACTTAATTTCTCTGGATCTCAACTTCCTTCTCAGTGAAACAAGGGGCTTTGGCTATTCCTAGGAGACTACTCCTTAGGCCAGTACTGTCAAATTCAAGTACGTCCCTGGGTGGCATATTGATTTTGAAAACCATAAATTAACATCTATGTTTTATTATATTTTATTTGTTTCATTAAACATCTCCCAATTACATTTTAATCTGGTTCCCAGGAATTAGTTCGATACCTCTACCTAAGGCTATCCTTAAGCTTCCTTCTTACTTTGAAACCTAAGAATCTGCTGTCCTCAAGGTAACAGGTGGCCCATTAGCCACTACGGAAATGTTGGCAAAACCCTGCACATAGATTAAAGTTCTATAATTTATCTTAAACTTGGGGAAAATGTCCTTTTTCAGGTATATGCAATATTTATTGAATAGAATTTTAATATGCTTTTTATATATATATGGATTTATGTTGATTTTTTTTTCCCTCTCCTCTTCCCTATGACCTCTCAGGGTTCTCCTTATATTCTCCTTGCCTTATAGTTTTTTAAAAAGTGAGTTGTTTTAGAAAATAGTCATTGTTCTATAAGGAATATAAAGTTCTAGTACCTTCTATTACTACTCTTGTCTGTCCTGACCCATGAGTGAGGTTCAAAATGTAAATAGTTTTAAAATAAATCTTCTTCCTATTTAATGGCACTGAGGCATCAATATCTTTGTCATCTCCAGGTTATGTGTGGCAGAAAAGTAAGATGTCAGGGGCAGCTAGGTGGTGCAGTGGATAGAACACCGGCCCTGAAGTCAGGAGGACCTGGCTTCAAATCTGGCCTCAGACTAAACACTTGACATTTACTAGTAGTGTGACCCTGGGCAAGTCACTTAACCCCAGCTGCCTAAAAATAAATAAATAAATAAGATGTTAAGAACTGGAACTCATCTTTGTTGTTTTGAATCACTTGGACAAAAAGTGAAAACCAAAGGGTCACTTAGTATAGGTAGGAAGTGGAGGATAGAGGCAGATCATGAACTGTGAATCCAGAAAGCTACACTGTGGTCATACTAACAGCAATTAGCCTAACTGCATAGGCCAAATAGGTAACCTGGTTTCATTGTTGCAAGATACAGGATGCAAAGGGAACCTTAAGGCAGAAGCAGAATCCAGATGCAGGCCAGATTCAAGTAAGCATAAAGGAACAGAAGGAGAATAAAGTTCACAAAGGAGGAACCTGCAGCCTCGAAGCTACATGTGGCCTTTTAGGTCCTTGGGTACAGCCTTTTAACCGAGTCCAAGTTTTACAGAACAGATCTTTTTATTAAGGAGATTTTTTTTGATGAAGTTTGGATTCTAAGGGCTGCACTTGAGGAGCTAGAGAGCCCCATGTGGCCTCAAGGCCGCAGGTTTCCCACCTCTACTATAGGCAGATGAGTCCACACTGGAATGTGACTCTTGATCCTAGTATTGTACAGTTAGTCTCGTCTCTGTCTTTTCAAGTAGTCTTCTTAGTTAAGGCAAACAAAGGGCATTAGTCATGTATTATTCACCAGAAGTAGATTAGTGGTATAGAGGTACTTGTGGTTGATCATTATATCATAGTCAGAATATTAGGTCCTCTAGCTTCTCATCACAGTTCTGAGAATGGAGATTTCCATTGAAAAAAATTAAACACTGATGGGCAAGGGACTCTTTAATTTCTGAGAAATTTATACATTGTACCATTTTTTTTTTGCTTTTACCCAAGGACTGCAGTCCTAAAAAGAACCAGAAAATACATACATCTTTATTGTCTTCAGTTGGTGGTCCGTCAGTGAGCTCTGTTACTTCTGCTGTTGCCCCAACCAGCTCTAGCAGTACACCAGCCCAGGAAACTATTTGCCTTGATGATTCACTAGACGAAGATCTTTCTTTTCATCCACCTTCACTGGATTCTGTTTCTGAGGCATTAGCAGTTATCAATAATGGAACCAAGGGCCCTCCAGTTCGCTCTGGAATAGGTATACCAACTACGAGACCTCGACCAGGACTTCGGGAAGAAAAATTAGCAAGTATCATGAGCAAGCTGCCACTGGCTACTCCAAAAAAAATAGAGTCAGCTCAGACTGCACATTCATCAAGTCTTATTGCTGGCCATACAGGACCAGTACCAAAGAAACCCCAGGACTTAGCTCACACTGGCATCTCGTCAGGCCTTATTGCTGGTTCATCAATTCAAAACCCTAAAGTTTCCTTAGAACCTCTGCCAGCCAGGCTTCTTCAGCAAGGACTCCAACGGTCAAGCCAAATCCAAGCATCTTCCTCTTCACAGGCCCATGCATCTTCTTCCTCTTCCCAAGCCCAAACTGCTGCCTCCTCTCATGTTTTGGTGACTTCTTCAGAGGCCCAAGAATCTTCCTCAGTAACACAAGTGACAAAGGTGCACCAGCATTCAGCTGTCCAACAAAACTATGTGTCCCCATTACAAGCCACCATTAGTAAATCACAGACTAACCCAGTGGTGAAATTAAGTAGTAATCCCCAGCTTTCTTGCTCATCCCCACTCATCAAGACTTCAGATAAACCACTTGTATACCGCCTTCCTTTATCTAACCCCTCATCTGGAAGTGGCTCTCAAGGGTCCCATCCACTGGTCTCTCGGACAGCACCTAGCACCTCTACCTCTAGTAACTATTTAGCCAAGGCCATGGTGTCACAAGTTTCCACCCAGGGTTTCAAGTCTCCTTTTTCTATGGCTGCATCCCCTAAACCTGCTGCATCCCCTAAACCTGCTGCGTCTCCTAAGCCTGTAACATCACCTAAACCCTCTGCCTCACCCAAGCCCTCTGCCTCACCTAAACCCTCTGCCTCACCCAAGCCCTCTGCTTCACCCAAACCTCCTGCTTCACCCAAACCCTCTATATCAACTAAACCTTCTATGTCAACTAAACTTATCATATCTAAATCCAATCCAACTTCCAAGCCTGCCGTATCCCCCAGTTCTTCCAATTCAAGTGCACTAGTAGCCCAGAGTAGCCACTCTCCCAGTAACAATCCAATCCATAAACAGCCCAGTGGAGTAAATATCAGCAGACAGTCTCCTACCTTGAATTTACTGCCCTCTAGTCGCACTTCAGGCCTTCAGTCTGCAAAAAATCTTCAGGCCTCTTCAAAGTTAACTAACCCAGCATCCACTGGAACTGTTGGAAAGAATAGCTTGAGTGGAATCGTAATGAATGTACCTGCCAGCAGAGGTGGCAATCTAAACTCAAGCGGAGCTAATAGGACTAGTCTGTCTGGGGGGACCGGAAGTGGAACACAGGGTGCTACTAAACAGTTGTCTGCTCCACATAGACCATCTACTGCCTCAGGGTCTTCAGTTGTAACAGCCAGTGTGCAGGTAAGTACTTAATCTATATTTGTCTGATAATGTTAAAGATTCAGTTATCTTTCTTTTTCCTAAGCCCTTTGGATAAAGTGTTATGAATAAATCCATATATGTTGAATCTATAGAATACATTTACAACTATAATTCTACATTGATGAGATATTTTAAATTCTGTTTTCAAATGTATTGGGCTTATCCATTTGCTAGATAGAGAGCAAGAGAAAAAAAATTTAAACCTTATTAGTACTTTAAAAAATGATATCCATGTTTTTCTCACATAATTGTTTTCTAGGTGTTCCAAAAAAGAAAGTAAGATTTATGGAATATTTTTCGCATTAATAATACTAGATTTTTCTTGAGGTGATTATGAAAGAAAACTGAAGCTCCAGTTTTATAATTTTAAAGTAAAATCATCATTTATATTTAAATTACATTTTTAACTTGAGACCCTCAGAAGGCTGAGTAATAAATAGGTCTAGAGTAGGAAGTCTTAACATGCAAACTCATGGACATAACAAGATAGTTGTCTGTATATTTTAAGGACCATTCAGGTTCAGGTTGTGTGTCTTGCCACTCTCCACCCCCATCTCCTCAACCTTAGTTTTCAAAATAAAAAGGACCATTTCACTGATATGTATTTTAGATTTGGTTCATTGTGAAATGATGCATTAGTTCAAATTCCACCCTGGAGGCGTTTAGAGATATATACTGGTAAGTATATTATGAAGATTGGAGTCGTGATGCTGTATTGACCTTCTGTGTAAAACACTTCAAGTAAAAAGTAGTCAATAATTACACAGCCTCTTATAGTATCTTAATAGAGTCTCTTCCTTCTTCTCCAGCAGGTACCATCCTTCTCTCTCTTCCAGGCTACTTTCTTCTTTGGAAGGGTGATGGCATTTGCAGTTAGGAACAGAGAGGAAGCACCAATATATATATAACTGATACATGTTCACCCAAGACTCCATTTCTTTCTGTCACCTTCATCAGCTCCTTCTGTAGCTGTGAAACTTGACAGATTACTGCCGTCCCCATTATTTGCTATCAGCAGCATATTAATCCTCCGCTTTCACTTTCTCTTGACACAGTGGTTGAACTGTTCCTAAGCCATGCATAAGCAAATAAAGTTTTTAAAAGAAATTTTGTCATGAAACCAAGGGTTAAACACGTAAAGGACAAGCAGTACTATGAAAAAGAAGGCTTTACAAGAGAGTAGAAGGTTCTTAATCCTCTGAATTCAGATTTAAATTAATATGAAATCTAACCTCAGTTGTTTTTGGTTGACATAATCTTCAGGCATAGATAGATTCTTATTCTATTTTAGAGCCTAGTTCTTTTCTCCAACTCCAAATAAATCTTATCTTACTCCTGCTTCATGACCTGAACTAACTTATCTTACCCTCCATGAGATTACCCAGCACTTTCCCAAATTACACTTTTCATTCTACTAATAGGAAGCAAATTGTCTCTTTTCTAGTGTAAAACTAATTGTCTTTGACTCAGTTATCAAATCTATTAACTGCCCCCTGATTTTAGCTATTTCCTAATAGGTTTCCTCCTCCCAAATTACTTATGAATAGTTAGCTGACAAGGCCTGAGTCACATGAGTTATGACACTTCTCTCCTTGTTTATACCACTGGGTCATGTTAACAGCTGCACATACTTTACTAGGTTTTAGCTGGTGCTTCAACTCATTTACCCAGGGGAAAGCTATCCATAAATAACTTTACTATGTTTATACAATGCCAGCTTTTTAAATATGTGGTGATCTTTAATATACGTAGACTTCTCTTATCCAAAGAAGTAGACATAGAATTTTATCAAGAGATAGCAGCTAGCTATAGGTCACAGAGCTGATTTTGACAACTACCAGTGGCTTGTTTTGAATCCTGAGAATGAAAAGTGATACCATATACACATATGTGAATGGTAATATGTCAATACTTACTGAACCTGTACTGTTACTGTCCTGTTAATATGAACTAGCAGTCTGACAGCTGCTTAAAAATGAATCTGCCAATGCAGTTATACTCTAATAGAGGTCTGTGTTTCTATAAGTGTCAGGTCTAGGTCAAGGGCAGTAATAATTCCACTGTGCTCTGTGTTAACCAGATCATGCCTGAAATATTTCATCTAGTTCTGGATGTGACACCCGAATAGTATCTGCTGGGAAGACAATAAGGATGGTGACTGTTGCAAGATCAGTCTCATGTGATATATTATTTAAGGCAGTGGAATTGTATAGTCTGGAAAAGAGAAGACTTAGGGAAGAAGACTTTTAAGAGTACCTTGTTTTATGTTGTCCCAGAAGGTGAAAGTAATGCAAATGAATGGAAGTTTTAGCAAAAGAGATTCTAGCTCAGTATAAGAAAGAACACTTATTATAAATCTGGGCGAAAACAAAACAAATTGCCTTGTTCAGACTAGATGATTACCTGACAGGGATCTTATAGTTAGGATTTCTGCATTAGGAGGGAGGATGTACTGGTTATCCTCTACCATTACTTCCAGTGCTCAAGATTCTATGAATGTGGGGCAGCTAGGTAGCACAGTGGATAGAGCACTGGCCCTGGAATCAGGAGGACCTGAGTTCAAATCTAGCCTCACACCAAACACTTGACACTAGCTGTGTGACCCTGGGCAAGTCACTTAACCTCAATTGTCTCACCCCCCCCAAAAAAAAAAGATTCTATGAATGTATATGGTATAGGATGTGGTACATGTGTATTTAAAAGTGAGAAAAGAAAGTCTTTATCTAGTTTCTGGGGAGGTTGAATTGATCAAGATTACTGAGGAATGGTAAGGATGCTAGGTATATGGTAGGAGTGACCAAAGATTGTTATTTTTGATTTGAAGGCACATAATACAGTAGGAATGGTTTGAGGAGAAATATTTAATATGCCTGAATCAATAAGAAGTTTTCGGGCTGATAAAATCTTAAGGCCAAAAAATGTATCTGCAAAATAGATAGACCAAATACATCCATATGTGCTAGCTCACCTTCTCCATCTACTCTAACACAAAACATTCTGTTCCTTCTATATCATCTCCTTCATTTCTGTCACTTACTTTTCCCTATACAAAGCTCAAGTCAGTAATAGAGCCTTGATAGTCTGTCAACGCTTGTCAAAAATGCTATTTGCTAACTTCATAGTAGGTACTGTGGGAGATATACAAAAAAAGTATGATATACTTCAGCTGTTCTTGAAGGCATTTAGAGCCTAAACAGGGAGGTGATACATATATGAAACAGCTAAAGAAAACACTTTTTAAAAAATTATTGAGTGCACATTAAATGTACTACTGTAATACAAACTGAATACTTATGTCTTGAGAGTCTATGTAGAAGGTTAGGGGATGACACTGAAGTCTTCATCATTGCTTTTTTGTTACTTTGAAAGCAAAAGTAAAGAGCTTGGATTTGGTGAATTAAGATATTAGGTAACCACTCTGTATGTTGTAAAGAAGGGAGTGGCATGATGAAATGAGCAAGATGATTTTACAGTTGTTGGTAAGATAGATTGGAATGGGGAAAGATCAAAGGCAAGAAAATCAGAGAACTCCCTATTGGTCCAGTTATAAACTGTACTTTTCCATCTTTCCTCAACTCAAATATGGCTTGCATAAAACCCAAGTGTTTGCTATAATCATGCTCTTAGTTATACTTTGTCTATTGGTAGTATCTGAAGCTACAGCAGATAGTCTGCCCACCTTTTGCTTCCCTAGTTCTTAAAATGAGGAATCTTACTGCAAAGTCCATCACAACTGCCCTTGCCTCCTTCATATCACCAACAGTAGAGAAGAGTAGAGGAGCTATGGAGAACACAGGGAGAGGATCCCAGAAATCCCCTTTCATGAAAAATTTGTTTGGTTTGGGCTATACTTTTCCCTTGACCCTGGGGCTCTTGCAGCTCAATATAAGAATAAAGAAGTAGGCAAGAGAGGGAGGCAGGGATGGTAAGATCCTACAAAAAAGTGTGATTTCCATATTTTGCATCTGAGTGAGGAAGTTGCCTAGTAATGGAGTAGGGGTAAGGAAGAAGATGATGAGAAGAGTGATTGTGATTCATTTGTGTTAGCCTCCTCCCTGTCCTCAAAAGGTCTGTTGAAATTCTGGAGTCTGATATTCTGACTTTAAAATAGGGTAGTGATGGAGAGTATTTTTAATTTTTCCTACAGTTGACACACTTAGCTTGGGGGACCCACGATGGCTTGACATCCAAGATGGGGGGATGTGGATATCATGTGAAAAAGAGGAAAGAAGACTACTCTTTTCCTTTGAACTGAGATTTCTATCAAACCCATGGTGGAGATGTCAGAGTAAAGGCACAGCAGGTTAAGAGGAGGCTATGGGATTGAGAAAAGTAGAGAAATAAAGTTTGTTTTACCACTGTCACGTGCAGAGTCCTTCAAATGGAAGGTAGAGCTGACAAAAATTTTTCTTTCCTTGAACACATCTCCTTGGTATTGCCTGAGTCTTAATGCAATGTGGTTTTTACACTTGACTTGAATGGTATATTCCTAGGGATGGGGATCACAGGGGATGTAATGGACACAGCCCAAATATATGAATCATAGAGTAATGTAAAATAATAAGACTGATTCTCTAGTTCTCACATGAAGATATTAGAATCCCAGAGTTGGAAGGGACCTTGTGGGTCATCCACTCCAACTTCCCACCCAATGCAGGAATCACCTCTACAACATCCCTGAATGTTGAACAGAACAGGGCTGAGGACAGAACCCTGTGGCCAGCTCACTCCAGCCAGCTCCCTCCAGGTTGACCTTGGTCCATTAATCATTACTCTTTGGGTATGGCTATTTAACAAGTTACAAATCCATTACTTTACTGTCTATATTTTATAGTCATATATGGTAAACTACTTTCTGGTTGGCCTCAGTGTGAGAGAGAAGCATGAATAATATTACTTTAATATAGAAACACACCATGCATGCATGGTTCCTGTCTCCCATAGTTCTTTAATGTTTCTTCTGCTGTTGAATTTTGCATATGTTTAGTTATTGGTGTTAGCAGTTGTGATAAATATTTTAGTACATAAGTACTTATAAGGGTTTTATTTTCTTATAGCTATTTAATTTTTAAAGTGAAGGACAAACTCTTTTACCCCTAGCAAATATAAATTGTGGAAATTTTAATTTATAATTTTCCAAAGTTACAAATAAAGTGTACTAATTTTCAGAATTTGGCAACCCTAAAGAAGGTGCCTACTATTTTAGCTTTTGGCACAAAGTTATTTGTGTGTGTGAATTACTACTATTAGAGAAATTGTTAGACACACAATTTTGGTTCTGTCAGGATATTAAATATGTCAGCTAATGATTTAAAATAATTTTTTGACATAATGGTTTCTGCACAGTCCACAGCAGGTGCATCCTTATTGGCTAATGCCTCGCCTCTCACTCTCATGACATCACCACTGTCTGTAACAAATCAAAATGTGGCACCTTTTGGGATGCTGGGGGGCCTGGTTCCTGTCACCATGCCCTTTCAGTTTCCTTTGGAGCTGCTTAGCTTTGGAACCGACACATCTGGAGTGACAACCACCTCGGGATCTACCTCAGCCGCTTTCCACCATAGCCTAACTCAGAGTAAGTTTTGGTTATTCAGTTATTTTGCTATATAATTTGAGACAACAATTAAACCCCAGTGATTCAAATAATTGAATCTAATTGGTGACAGTTATGAAATATTTTAAAAGAAAACCTTTTGTATTTCAAGTACATACAGTAACATAAGCCTAATGAACTCTATAGGGTTTTCTGTAACAAAATTTTGTAAAACTTGTCAAATGATTTTCAGTTCATTAACACCCCAGTCGTGGTCAGAGGTACAACAGCCTAATTTCCTGCATTTTTGGAATCTCCTTGGAAACAAGGATCATAGCCTGCCTAAATTGTGAAATCCTTGATTGCCTAATATGGTGCATAGGGTACCTCATGGCATTTAGTGAGTTCTAATGCTTCTGTCTTTCCCACATCCTGCATCAATTCAGGAGTTTATATAATTTAACTTTCTTTTTGAGCAAAAATTTCTTAAAGCCAAGTAAGGCCTGGGTGGACTATCAGCATCTCATTTTTTTTCTTTTAGATATGCTGAAGGGTTTACAGCCAGGAGCTCAGCGTGCAACATCACTTTCTCACTCACCTCTGCCTAGTCACCTACAGCAAGCTTACAATGGTAAGATTCTGTGTATCTCTTCTTTATCTTGTGTATTTGAAATTTAAAATACCCATGGCACTCAAAAAACACGTCTTTTCTTACTCAAACCAAAGACAAAATGGAGTGGGGAGGGGTTAGGCAGAACAGTTGTTCATTATACTTGCTCTAAGTTGATAGGTTCTTGAAAGAAACTCTTTACACAAGTGGGAAAGTGGAAAGTATAGTATCCTGATAATAGAAGATATCCTTTCTGTTTAGAGGTAACTTTTATGTGGGGAATGAGCTGCAAAAAAATTGTGTGTCCAAATAAGTAACTAAGAATCATGTATAAGTATCAGACAAACCATCACTGGGACATTATAACCAAAACCCACCCGAAGTTGAGAAACCATTTGCCCTTTATGGTTAAACTAGTCTCCATAATTACAACCCAGACATTGGTCCACTTGGAGTATTTGTTGTATACCCCTCAGCCCCAGCTTTAGTTTCTTTATGTGGAGCCGCTTATTCCAGAAATAGTACCATTTCTTGTTCTTGCCAATAACTATAAAAACAAATTCCCCATCCCACCATGAAGACACATGTCAGTTGCATATCTGCACATGGTTAGAAGGGCACCATAGTAGGATTATTAAAATTCATAAATATTTTAAGCATCTATACAGTCTAATGATACAGTCTTTAGCATTAGAATATCAATATTACTTTGATTTTTAGTACTACTAACAAGCTTTAACTGGGACAGTGCCACTATTGCCTTTTCTCAGAGCGCTAACATCCAGAGTGTGAACTTTATCCCCAAAGGGATTCATTTCATGGTATTCTCTCTCTGTTTCAGAGAGACTGCTACCCTTGTTCTTTGTAGTACTGCCCTGGTCTGTTTGTATGGTTGTGCCTAGTCCCATTCCCAGGATCATGTTATTTATAGTGCCCCTTTCTTTGGGGTACACCTGCCTCACCCTGAATTCTAAGGGGGGAGCTTAGGTGGGTCTCTGAAGGATGGCCCAGGAGTGAACCTGTAGTTGGACTTGTCATCTACTCTCTGCATTGTTGTTGCCAGGGCTCTGCTATCCTCTACCCTTACTCCTCACTACTTCACAGCCCCTTAAAGAAATTTCTAGTTCTGACTCTTTTATCCAGCCCATTGCCACCCATCCTTGCCTTCTCATCTTACAGAATCCTTGTCTATGACCTCCTGTAAATCTGCTGTACCTAATACGTGGGAAACTGGCATTCTTCTAGATGTCTGGACATTGTGTGGGTACCAAAGGAACACATACACTGTTCATAGCTATGAACTGCCTACGTTTTTAAATAAATAGTAAATGAATAAATTTATTTTATTTTATTTATTTAAATAAACTTAAAATAAATAAATAAATAGTAAAATAGTATATAAGTTCTTGGCTCCCAGTGCTGTAGGAAATTCATTTTCCATTGGTTTCTTTGCTCCTCCAGTCTTGACATGGGGGTGTAGATCGTATCCCAAAAGACTAGATTTCAGTACTGATCAATAACTCTCTCTCTTCCATACCCAATGCCTAATACTTTCCTATTGCTTTGTGTTTCTGAGGAAATAGGTTGTACTTTAATCACCTGTGGATGGTGTATTTTTAAAAAAAAAACAACTTTTTTCGATAGACTAGAAAACAAATATGAACATTTCCCTATACAAAGAAGGCTAGAAAAAGAGGATTATAAATGAAACCATATCTTTTACATACAACTTGTTTTCATATATCTATTAAATTTAATATAATACCAACATAGTCTTGCTTGTCTTTATACTCTTAAGAACTTTCTTCTGTTCTTATCTATATATTTCAAAAATATTTTATTGCTGCTGATCTTTTTTTTAATTTTTTTTTTGGGGGGGAAGGGATTTCTGTCATTACCTATGTGTTTTCTGCACCAAGATAAAAGTCCTTCCTTGTAACACATAATTATAGTCAAGCAAACCAAATCTGTGTTGTGTTTGGTCATGACTGAAAATGCCTCATTCTGCACCTATAGTTAGTTCATTACTTGGCACCGAGAGGTGGGAGGCATGCTTCTTCGGTCTTCTGGAGTCGTTGCATTGATCATAGTTCTTTAGTCTTTCAGTTCTTTCTCTTTACAGTGATGTAGTCATTTTATAAAAAAGTTCTCTTTGTTCTTCTCAGTTTAGTCTGCATAAACTCATACAAAACTTCCAGGGATTCTCTAAAAGTGTCATTTCTTATGCACAATAATATTCTGTTACATCCACATACTTTAATTTGTTCTGGCAATCGCCTGTTGGTGGGCACCCACTTTGTTTACAATTCTTCGCTATCATAAAAAGTGCTATTTTTGTATAAAAGGGCCCTTCACCTCTGTCTTGAATATCTTTGTGTATATGCCTAGTAGTAGTATCCAACATTGGATCAAAGTGGATATTTTAGTGGCTTTTACAGTATAGTTCCAAATTGCTTTCCAAAATGATTTGACTAATTCACAGATCCATTAGCAGTGCATTATTAGTCTGTGTCTCTTCTTGTAGCCCCTCCAACATTGTCATGCCTTTTTTTGGGGTCATTTTTGATAATTTAATGGGTGTGGCGGAACCTCAGAGTGCTTTAATATGCATTTCAATTATTATCATTACTGTTCTGAAGCACTTTTTCATGTGATTCTTGAGAATTTGGAAGATTCCTTGCCTTGAAAACTGCTTCACGTCCTTTAATCATTTATCTCCTGGGAATAGCTTTAAAACGAGTGAGTGTTCACGCACGCACGTGTGTATACACACACACACACATACACATCTTTTTTGGGGGAGAGTCAGTTTCTTAATATTTGGGATATCATGACTTATCAAAGAAATTTGCTGCAAAAGTTTACACACACACACACACACACACACACACACACACATCCTGCTTCCTTTCTAATTTTGGCTGCATTGTATTTGTTTATGTAAAAAATTTAATTTTGTGTAATCAGAATTGTCCATATTATCTTCTGTGATCCCCTCTAGCCTTTGCTGGTTATAAACTTTCCTCCTTTTCATAGGTCATAAAAGCAATTTCTTCAGTGCTCCTCCCATTTCTTTATGGTGTCACTCTTTATGTCCAAGTAATATGTTCGTTTGTGGCTTATTTGATACATGATGTGAGATGTTGGTCTACATCTAATTTCTGACAGACTTCTTTCTAATTTTCCTAGCAGTTCTTGTCAGATAATGAGTTCTTAACCCAGCAGTTGGGTTTTAGGTTTTATCAAACAGTAGGCTATGTGATCATTTGCTTCTGGATCTTGTTTACCTAATCTGATCAAATGAGCGACATTTCTGTTTTTTAACAGTACCAACTAGTTTTTGATGATTATTGCTTTTTAGTATAATTTGAGATCTTATTTTTTTAGGCCCTCTTCTTTCTCACTCTTTTTAAATTATTTTCCTTGAGGTTTTTGATCTCCAGATGATTTTTTTTTTAGTAAGGCAGTTGGGGTTAAGTGACTTGCCCAGAGTCACACAGCTAGGAAGTATTATGTGTCTGAGGCCGAATTTGAACTCAGGTCCTCCTGACTCCAGGGCCAGTGCTCTATCAAATGCGCCATCTAGCATCTCGTAACAACATATATCAAGTTAAGTTCTAAATGGATATGTGACCTAGATATAAAAGGTCAGTCCTATTATAAAGAAATTAGAAGAGGATAGAAGAAGAAACTTTTCACAACTATGGAGAAGGAAATAATTTATGGCCAAAAAAGGGATGGAGAGAATCACAAAAGATAAAATAGAAAATTTTGGTTATGTAACATTGAAAAGTGCTTGGATACTGAAAACCATTGTAAGGGAAACCATTAATTAGGGGGAAAAAATCTCGGGGCAGCTAAGTGGTATAGTGAATAGAGCAACAGCCCTGGAGTCAGGAGGACCTGAGTTCAAATCCTGCCTCAGACACTTGACACTAGCTGTGTGACTCTGGGCAAGTCACTTAACCCCGACTGCCTCACCTAAAAAAAAAGAAGAAGAAAAGAATCTGTGCAACAAATTTCTCTTTAAGTTTTTCCACTGAGATTTATAAGGAATGGATTCAAATATATGAGAATAAATATGAGAACTCTTCCCCAGTACACAGATACTCAAAGGATATGAAAAAATATTTCTCAGGGAAAAAATCCAAGCTATCAATAACCATATGAAAAAATGCCCCAAATCACTAATAATTAGAAAAATGCACATTAAAACAGCTGAGATTCTTCACACCCATCAAGTTGGCAAACATGACAAAAAAAGAAAATTACAAGTGTTAGAAGAGCTGAGGGAGGACAGGTACACTAGTGCAGTAGTGTCAAACTCAAGATAGAAATGAGGACCACTAAATTATACAAAAGGATTCCTATAGACTGTATGTTAACTTAGAAAACTGAATATTAATATTACCTATTTTATTGTATTTTTATTTATTTTAAAAATATTTCCCAATTATATTCTGGTTCATGTGTTTGATACCTCTACACTAATGCAACAAGGGAAAAGGACCAATATATACAAATATATTTAGAGCAGCTCTTTTTGTAGTAACAAAGAACTGAAAACTAAGGGGAATAGGGGTTACATATCTTAGGGAATGACTAAACCAGTGATACATGAATGTAATGCAGTATTATTGTGCTGTAAATAATGAAAGGAATATATGGTTTCAGAGAAACCAAAGAAGACCTGTATGAATTGTTGCAGAGAAAAGTAAGCAGAAGTAAGATAACAGTTTATACAGTAACAACATTATAAAGAAAAGCTACTTTGAAAGACTAGAGAATTTAGATCAGTGTAGCTAGATGGCACAGTGGATGAAGTGCTGGGCCAAGAGTCAGGGAGACTTGACTTCAAATCTGGACTCATACACTTATTAGCTATGTGGCCCTGGGCAAGTCACTTAACCCTGTTTACCTTAATCCACTGGAGAAGGAAATGGCAAACACTCCAGTATCTTTGCCAAGAAAACTCCAAATGGAGACATGAAGAGGTGGACCTAACTGAAAAGACTGAACAA